TGGCACTGGAGAAACCGGTAAATGAGTGGATTAATAGAAGTACTTTAAATGAATGTTAGTCTGGTGTTTGGAAATGAAATGTTTTGCATGAAATACAATGGGAACTACACGGTCTGCGTTTCTGGAAAGTGTTTTCAGCATTGTGTTGTGTTTGTGAGAAAATGCCATTTTAATGGCATGATGGAAACTGCTTTCTGTAACTATTCTCATCAGAAGTGCTTTTCCGGAACAGATTTTTCCAGTAGCAGCAGACTGGTAATGGGAAGTCAGGTTATTGGTGCTTGTACACGACCACCAGTTACAGCAAAGGGAACAGTTGCGTTTTCCGATAAGCACGCTAGCTAAAACACTCCCTTTTCTTTCTCTCATAGCAAGAAAAAAACTGAAGGTACCTATGATCTACCTTACTGGGATCGTGCAGGTAACAAAAATGGTTTAATAAAATACTTGGCATTCTTGCTTTAATATGTATTTCAAATTGCAGTAGCTTAGATATTTTCCCGTGGCAGAAACGCTTCTCTAATGCTGGTTTATTATAAATGTAGGGGTAGTGAACTCTGAATGTCCTTTCTGAACAGACTTTACTTTTGGTTCTGTGAACTTTCTTCAGAAATAATCGTTTCTCCTGTCAGAGCTACAACTATAAAATTATTTTAGTAAACAAAGTTTAGAGCCTCATAATAAGAACAAGACGAGAAAAACTCATTTCTAAGGAAAGTTTTTGTACAGTTAATAATCAGTACCAGGTATTTTTTCTCCTGGAAAAAAAGCCTTTCATCTTCGCATACAGGTGTCTCAAGTTTTATCTCTCTTCGTTGCCCTATTGTGGGGTGTGTGGAATGACTTGAATCCCATTTTAGGTCGAACTTTCCATTCTTGGGCTCTTGATCCCCATTAAGTGGAAAGCAGGCACTTCTGCAGGGCAGTGCTTTTCTAGGGCCCTGAGAACCCTTATGCTAGAGCTTAAAGACCTGCTACAGCAGTTGGCTTCTTTTCATCTGATTGTGCTTCATTTTTCTGTCCTCATTTTAGTAGTCTGCATATGTGCATTTGTTCAGTGACAGCTTTAAATGTTCCTTATCCTTTAGGCAAGAAATCTTTCAATGATCTTATTTTATTTATTATAGATCCATTTCTGCTAGATCCCAGCATTGTTGTATTGGAATGCTAAAATCAAAATATGCTATATTTAAATGTTAATAATAGACGTGCTGGATTTTTTTCACAATCATTTAAATATGTGTGTTCAGTATGCAAGTCCATTATAGAACTATAACTATAGAACTATATATAGTCCCTGCAATTCAGCAAAATTCAATTTCAGAAAATGCTGTTCTACTCTGTGGCCCCTCTCTCTGACCCTGCTCGCAGGTTACTTCAAGTTTTGTTAAACATTGTCTAGTGATTTTTTGAATCTGCTGATTGGCCATGCAAATACTTACTATTTTCCTTACTTGCTACTACAAAATATAAGCTCCGTAGTATATACTTTCTCTTCAGTAGCTTCTAATAGAGAATGAGTAGATTCTTACCTTTTTCTTTTCTTTAATCCGTGTGAAGGATGGTGGAAAGGAATGAAGCAGTTTCTCCCCACCAAATCAGCAGACCATGAAGAAACTCCAGTTCGCTATAGCAGCGGTGAAATGAGTCGCCTAAGACCCAGAGAAGTCCCAGCAATGTTACAGACAGAGTCTGCAGGTACTTCTTACACCTCCTGAAATACAAGCTGTTTCAGATCTGTTCTCAGAGCTCCACAGAAGTGTGTGTTTACTGATTGTGCACAACGGAAAGACATTTTTGCAAGTAAATGCAATAACCCAAACTTTCTTTACTTGTTCTTGAAACTCAGGAAGGCCTGAAAGTCTCTGTAGCCATGTTTTCATGCACTGAAAATAACTTAATCACACCATAGTTGCACATAAGTCTGTAATACATCACATGTATCTGCACAGATAATACAAATTAAGCCATCCCTTCAATTTGGAAGATGGAGAATTACTGATAACAGGATATGCCATTTATTTGATGAACCAGTCACTGGAGGAGGATGACTCTGCCTTTGGGTCTGTGTTTACTCACTGATGGCAGAAACATGCAGACCTGCAGCATTCTGGCTTCACAGCCGGCAGAATTATTTCTTTTTTGGCTGCCAGATTGTCTCTTTTTAGGCAGCTATCCCATTTTCTCACTTCCAGCTTTTGTTATTCAGGTCACCTGTCAAACTAAAACAGCTCAGCAGACCATGTGCAGGCCTTCCCTCCCCCAGCCACACTTGAGCCAAAGCCAGCCAGGATAACTTCATTAAGTCAAATTTTCCAGGGAAGCAAGTTCCAAAAAACTAGAAAGTTTGCTTTGAGGCAGATTTGCAGCATGGGAAATTGCAGCTTCCATGGGGGAAAAAAGTATTACAAGCCTAAGAAATCAGGATCTTGTAGCAGAAGTTACCTAGCAGCTTGTAACTGACCATTATTTTCTGGCACATAAAGCCCATTGGTTTGATCTCGGATAATAATTTCTGTGATGCTGTTGATAGGATCTATTTATTGTGATGCCACTATTAAAATGAAAAATGCATTAATTGTTTATGTATTCTCCTTTGTTGGGTCTCACCGCACAGAGTATGCCCAGCCGCTGGTAGGGGGGATGGTTGGCACGCTGCATCAGAGATCCACCTTCAAACCAGAGGAGGGGAAGGAGGCAAGTTACGCGGATCTGGACCCCTACAATTCCCCTGTGCAAGAAGTCTATCACGCTTACGCCGAGCCGCTGCCTATAACTGCACCCGAATACGCAACGCCCATAATCATGGACATGTCCGGCCACGCCGGCGCGCCTCTTGGCGTCTCTCCCATTTCCACCTTCAAAGCTGCAGGGAATCAGGCTGCTCCCCCAGCAGGACCCTACAACAGACCCTCGTGTGGGGCAGAGAGCCCCTCGCCGGCGCGGGCGCTGTACGACACCCCCAAGGGGCAGCCGGGGCCCGGCGCCGTCGCCGCGCTGCTCTACCAGGTGCCGCAGGGCCTGCCCCATCCCGCCGGCGGCGATGAGCAGCCCAGGTAGCTCGGCCGCAGCGTCGGGAGCGCCGTCTCCTCGGAGCTCGGGGTCCCTTCTGCTTGGGTCGCTTTGTCTTAACGTTGTTTGTCTTAATACAGTTGAACCAAAACTTGTGTGAAAGGAGGTCTGGGAAAACCAGCGATTCGGCCTTCCTACTGTATACAGGTACGCCTTGTCTCTGGAGAAACCATGGACTTGTTTTCTACAGTTGTCTGTCAGCAGTGAACGAGGAACTTTTCAAGATTAACTTCAGCATTTCAGCGATATGAATTGTAAATTGGGAGAAACAGCTTAAAGTAGGAAAGTCAGTAATATAGGTCTTGCCAATGGTACTATTTCTTAAAGAACAAACAAAAAAAACCTCCTAAACTCTCTATGTAAGTACTAGAGAGGAATAAATTCAGTTTCCCTTTTGGAATAGCTGCATAACTTCCAACTTTTGTTCACAGGAATGGGAATCACCGCGTGTGTGTTCCTCACATGCTTTTCACAACGGTTTTATCATCTTTCTAAAACCAGAATCTGATAGCTCTATAATTTGTTTTCTCCTCCGTCTGGTCTTAAGCCACTAAATCCTGTTGCCTTCTAGAGATACAGTGGGCACAGACTGTTTTAAGGAAACTACAAGGCAACTGGCCTTGTGTCTGCCTTGAACCCAAACCTCCCCACAAGTGAACAGGCTGCAAGAAGCTTCCAGGTGTTCAAGGAGACCAAATCTGAGAGGTTGTTCCCCCTCGAGGTGTCTGTTGTTGTGTGTTTTAAGATGTAAGCATATACAAAGAAAGATATGTATATACTTTTGTGCGTGCATAAGGAGGCACACAAATATTCGAATGATGCGTAAAGCTGGTTTAGCACATATGGTACATTTTAGCACAATTGGAAAACTTGGCCCTAGGGTTTTTTTTTAATGATTGTTTCTTGTTAGAAGTATGAAAGATTCCAAAAACTTTGCTAGAGGCAGGTTGTTTTAAAGTGTATCAATTTCAGAAGCATTTAAGTGAATATATAACCTTTGAATGTTCCAGTTTTCTCTACTGAAAAGATCTCTCCATCTAAGATAACATAGACTAGTTTTATTTAGGTAATCACCTAATGAAAATAATTGGGATGTCACGTTTGCCATTTCTGGTCTTGTTAGAAAGAAAGCACAGCCTTTTTAACATAAGCATAAGTAGTAGAAGCTGCTCTTAAAAATAAAGTGATTTTTATTGTAACCACACTGTTGGAAGGATGCTGAAGTAACTTGCAAATGTGAAAACCCCTGGTTATACATTAGCCCAGTTTTATGGACTTTCACTGTTTTTTTTTTGGTTTTTTTGTTTGTTTTGGTTGATTGTTCCCCCCCACCCCATGAGGTGGTTTAGGTGAGCTGTGTTTATTGCCCCCGGTGCATGTGCTGGATGGATAACATGAAAGCAGAAACGAAAATATGGTTACAAATGGCTCCCATTACAGGCTCATAATGGTACAGTGTCCTAATTGCCACTGCAGTTTTCCTGCACAGAAGCTGTCACACAGTAACGCAGAATTACTTGTGGCCTGTCCAACGTGGAGAATATGTCATCACATATCCTGTGCTGCCCTAAGGCCTCTTGCTACAATTTTTCATCATGAGAATGATTCTTTAAAAATTAGGTGCCTAAATGTGAATATAGAAATAAGGGGCGATATATAAAACCTACTCATGAAGAGGAAATTCCTGCATATAGTTGTATTTTTTGATAACACTGCAACTTGTTCCGCGTGATGAAGCTAGTCTGCAAACTTTGTAGTTTGTTGCTTAAAAATGTTAAGGTTGTTCTACCCATCAGTAGCAACTATGACTTTGAAAATGAGGAAGTCTATTCCTTTGCATCAAAATGTGACATACTGATTCCAGGCAAGTGAAGAAACTGCTTTCCTAAACCATACAACTTTAGGCTAATTTGCCATAAAAATAAATGGATGTGTTCAAGACGAGAAAAAATAACACTCTTGGAAACCCGCATTTAATTTTTACTATAGGAGAGAGGTAGAACACACAGCTATAACATAGGCCAAGATGGTGTGAGAAGGAAAGTTTCTCTACGGTGGACTGGGTTATCTTGAAGCAGCATTAGTATAGTTTCATTATCTGAACAGTGTGAGCAGTTGACCCAAGTCGCTGTTTAAGTATTTAAATTCTTTTTATGAAGGAAATTGGTCTTATATTTTGCTCCCTGCTTTCAACTTGGAACATTTTATCTGCTAGGGGAAAAGAGATAAGGTTGAACATGTAAAAAGTTGACTATAAAATGTACGCTATAAACTGCTAAAGGTTGATTTGCAAATGTAAGCTGCAAATGACCCAGCTGAGCTCAGCCTTTCCCTGTGTACCATCCCAGCAGAGGTGTGCTTAGTGAGGCTCTTTTGAATCGAACGATGGACATAAAACGCGTTTCAGTCTTGTTTGGAATAAAGATGGCTTGAGTGTTCTCCCAGAATGTACATTCTTACCTCAGCATGTACTGTAGTTGCTCAGTATTTGTATATGTTGCTAGACTTAGACTGTATAAATAGTGAGGGTTTTTTATGTATGTTAAAGTATTTTAAATAAATTGTACATACGAATGATGCTCTGTAGTTTTGTATTGCTTCACCCTTGGTCAATCTGTGGGTTGTAAAGGCCGGGCCCTGCACCGGTTAACGCAGCGCGAGGGGCCCCATCTCGAGGAGCTGCCGCTGCTGCTGGGACGTTGGTGCTGGCGGACCCGGAGCAGCACCCGGAGCGCCCCGCCGCCCGCTAATATTAGAGGTGAGAAAGAGCGGCTTACCGGGAATTCTGTTGAGGAATCGGTATTGTGTGTCAGAGTCAAACCCAGGTTTTAAGCTCTCTGTTCAAAATTTTCACAAGACTTGACACAGTTATTTAAAAGACAGTCAGATACACTGCGGGTTGACAGATGCGCAGCAGTTGATTACGAAACCACATGATCAGCAAACAAATTCTCATCCAAAAAAAGAGCAAAACTTTGGGGCAATTCCCAGGAAATCCAAACATGGACACCAACAGCTGTCTATGCTACCTTGCAGAAGGGAAAGGAACACATCTTCCCCTTACCCACATATACATAAACACTACTGCACATGAAACTAAATACAGGAATGAAGAATGCTACATACAGGAACATATACGATCAGACTGAAATGGAGAAAGCCTAGAACAACATCTAAACGTACTTCTGCCTGCATGCTGACCTCATGTAGAGTGAGTGTATTAAAGAAGTCGAAAGCCAAATGATAGTATAATAATTAAAAATAATGTCTAAAAACACTGTCTAGCTAAAAGCAAACAAAAAAATAATGTTGTGATTGCTGTAGTTCTTTTACTTACCACATTTGTTTGTGGCTTTCAGCAGGGCAAGGTGCAGATGGGCCAAGCAAATTTAGATGACAAGTGGAAGTCTACAGGTGAGCTGCATTGCACTACTGTAATACAGTCCCTACTTCAGCAGAACGAGGAAAGGGCAGGGAATGTTTGGTGGAAATCCCTTTTTTCCTCAAGTGGGGGATCTGTAATTGTGCAGATCTACTCTATTTGGCTTTGTTGTGTGTATCTTCTACGCTACCCCGTTTTCCAGGCAGTTTATTCGGGTAGTATGCCGAAGTCTCACGTTTGCTCGTAAGCGGCTGCTTTTCTCTCTCCTTCCTCCTGAAGCTGCTGCAGCTTCACAAGAGGTGGTGCCCCAAGACGAGCTGTTGTTGGTAACGGTCTGAGGGCCAGGATCCATTTTTCTACTTAGGGAGGCTCCTCCACTTTGGACTAGACTGTTACATGATTCTTCCTGAAAAAGAGACAAAAAGCTTTATTTTATTATTTGTGAAACAACTAAGATTCGGGTAAAACAGCTTTTTGACTTCAGAGGAGCAGTTGCCTGCCCGGCTTGCCTGCCTGCCCGTCACGGTGCTGTGGACCAGCACCGCCGGCCCCACGCGGTGCAGGGTCTGCAGGGTGTCCTCCCCCACGGCCACCCGTCCTTACGAGGGAATTGAGCTTCAAGTGTGCCTGCAATTGGCCGATCACAGGGCCGAGAGCGGGACGGAGAGCGCGGAAAGCCTCAGCCCCTCTAGCAAGGCGCAGCAGAAAGGACTTGGAACAGCTCTGCTTGGCTTGAAGAAGTTTCTTCAGCGCAAGCACAGCATGAAAGCGCAGCTTCTGCCAAGGCTTCCCAGGACCCTGCCCAGGGAAGGAAAGCAGGCGGAGACGGGCAGAGGGAGGAAGAGAGGTCAGTGGAAGCTATTTCTAGCGCAACACGTGTATGTTTGTAGAGGACCAGAAAGTAATTCAGAGTTTGATGCCAGCAAGCCCAAAAGGCCAGAGGTATTTTATGCTCCGTCGTTCTTCAAAGGCAGAGAAAACAGAATTTCCCTTTTAACAGTTAGCTCTGCTCCAACCTAATGAACTCAATTCAGTGGGAAGACAGAACTGTGGCAAACTAGTAGAAACCTGTTTAAGTGGAGGTGCAGGGAAAGCCTTCTCAGAGCTCTACCCCCAGACCATCCCATTGCAGAGCATCTGCAGAATGTGCACAGGAACTAAGCACTGTAGTAAACAGGAACACACCAAAGAGATGGCAAAGTGTATATGCCTTGAACTGATACTTGATGTATTGGTCAATCTGTTGACAGAACAGTGAAAATTCATTCATGGGAATCTTGCAGAGGTTCAGGGTTTGCTTTCAGAGCCTCCTTTGAAAGCAAAGTAGCATTCTACATCAGAAACCAACTGCATGGCCAAATAAACACACAGAAATGAAAACTCCTGTGTGTATATAAATATACAATATGATAGACTTATCTTCTGGATTGCATTTGCAGAACACAAGAACCTCCTCCAGACAGAGAGAATAATATGGCAAATATGCCTCTGATTGTTTTTCTATAGATTTTAGCATGATGTGTGAAACAGAAAACAGAATGGGAAAAACTTGAAACCCCCGAAGGAAGTCCCTAAAATATCTATACTAAAAGGGCAATTACTCCAA